ATAAAAAAAGGGCAAGTGTAGGCAGGTTGCCAAAAATGTTCTAGTTAGGCAGTTCACTGGCCCAGGCTGGAGAAGGGATTAATGTTTGGAACCTCTGTTCCTGGGCTTTTTGGACTCAGCTTACCCGCCCTGTGATAGAATTAAAGGGGGAAGGCTGGGTTCCAGTGCTCAGCCCACTCAGGAAGATGCTGTAACCACTGTGGAGCTCCCAAGATGGACTGCTGCTTCCTGCAGTCCCTCTGAAGACACGGGGCTCTAAGCTGGGGGACTGCCATAATGTTTGACTTTCACATGACCGCAGCCCCTCCACATGGTATGGGGCATAGATGAGTGTGTGCACAGGCAACAAGGTACCTCAACATGCAGGGTGAGTGGCCTCGCCCACAAGCCACTGCTCTTGCACACATCATTGGATTAATATTAGGCTCAGGTAAGTATAAGGGGGGGCTGGGGGGTATTAGACCACAAGCTTTACAACTACTGTAAGTACATAATACGGCAGAGCTGTGACCACTGTAATACCCTGCTACTGCTATCACAAAAAAAACCCATTAAGGGACTGTACTCGGTGGTGTCATGAAATGTACTGTAGATCAATTATAACAGTGTGGCTGAGGCAAAAGTTGCAAACATAAGGCCTCAATTTGCTCTGTCTAATAAAGCATAGGGACATTTTGCTCATAATAGAGTCAATTTCTTAACATATGCCTATTAATGAAGTCACATGTATTTACTCCTGGTGCTCCCCCAGAGCTGGAGTGAGAGTGACAGGCAGGAGTGTGACGGGGTGACTCCCTGGAGATCATTTTGATATCACAATGGTGGTACTCAGTTGTCGCTAGGAGCAGGAAGCCGGTTTTACTAGATTTTAATGTAAGTGGCTACAATAAAATTTATATATCAATTTTTCATATACTGATTCCTGGTCTGTTTGTGAGGTCCAAAGGAACAAGAGGATGCCAGCTTGGGGATTTTCCATGCACACTGGTTGATCACATGCTGATATTTTTTGAGTTAGGGTAATTATGCATTTTTTATATGGTTTGCAGTGATATCTATTGAGTATCTTCTTCACGAATGCTGTGACACTATAGTGTTTTGCATGCTGCACGTGTGGCACTATACTTGTGATACCTAAGATAATACACTATGTCTAGATTTTGTTTTTTTTTTAGGTATATGAAGAACGTCTGAGTTTTATCTTCATCTTCATTTTGGAATAGTGAGCACTTATCCATCAAGATTTGGATATCACGTTGGACTTTGTTTGAGTTTTTTATGTGAAATTTTGGACATTTTATTTTTGGGACTTTAAGTTTAATGATTTAAGTCGGTTTGAATATATTGTATACTGGTACTTCAGGGGAAGGATAATGATACGACTTCAAGGGATATTATGTGTTATGGGTTTGTGTGTGCTGACTTATAATTATTTCATGTATTTACATGTTCATGTATAGAGATATTATTATAGTAGATTAGGCATTATTTGACAAATTGTAAAAGCTAAATACTAATGACGGTTTTTTAATACCTGGACCTTTGGATCCAATCCAAAAGTGAAACAACAGAGCAAAGCCTAATATTTAATTCACAAACAGTTCTGTACAGGGCATCTGGTGAACTAGTAAAAGGATATGTTTGAATTCCTTACTAATTCTCAGTAACCCAGTTCACAAATAAGTGAATATGTATAACGAGCAATCCCTAGTTCTCAGTAAACATTTTCTTACAGATCATCAGCTTGAGCCAATCAGAATACCAGGTCCGGTAAACCATTCATCACTAAATATTCCTTATATACTCTATATCAGAAAAAGTCCAAAGTAAATAATTAGAAGCACTATTATCGTAATACTGCTGAATTAGGGATTAAGTTGACTTGATTTTTTGAAATATGCTTATGGCTATCCATGGTCTGGGAGAAAGGACATCTGAACAGGGTAGAGGTTTTAGAATAATAATTTTTCTCTAATGATGGCTGTACAGACAAAGAATGTTTGTGATTTTCAAGAATTAACATCCCAGTTGCCATAATTCTGTAATACCTCATAAGAAGCACAGCTCTAATAGCAGGTCTTAACAAGGGCCTCATCTTCTCTTAGACCAGTGGTTCTCAACCTTCCTAATGCCGCGACCCTTTAATAGTCCCTCATGTTGTGGTGACCCCCAACCATAAAATTATTTACCCAGTAATTATAATTCATGAAGTGTCGTTTTACCTCCAATACTGCTGCTTTCAACACAGTAGCTGCTTTTAACAGAGTAGCTGCTTTCAACACAGTAGCTGCTTTCTACACAGTAGCTGCTCTTTACACATCAGAAATATGTGTTTTACGAGATGGTCTTAGGCGACCCCTGTGAAAGGGTCGTTCGACCCCCAAAGGGGTCGCGACCCACAGGTTGAGAACCAGTCTTAGACGGTCAAATGAGGGCAGATATGTTTTTACATTTTTTATATCAAACATATTTAATAAGATAACTTCCTCTCACATCTTGTGAGTTCCCGTGTGGTACTTCTATTGTCTGCAACCTTGAATCAGCTTCTAATTTCACTGTGGCTCTTGTTACAAATTGGATTACCGATCAACTATCCTGTGGAACACGTAAAATAAAATTTTCAAGGAGAGAAAAAAAAAGTCTGTAGTATTCCCTGGTACACTATGTCCTTAGTTTGTTTTAAACATATGTAATCGTAATCTCTGATTCTGTAGAGCTGAACTTCTCAAAGTGGTGTAAATCTTCCGCTTCACTGCATTTATACCATTTTGCTCTGCAGAAGTGGTCTTTTGGCTTTGGTTGTAAGACATGTAATCTAAACTTTTCAAGCATAAGAAACTGTTTATAAATGTACTTTTCTATTTCTGTTTGGTGTATGAACCCTTTCTTAAGTTGGAGTGCCCCTATTCGAAATTTAGTGTGGTAGCTTGGCTATAGTCCACCTGAGCTTTGATTGTCTTTGTTTTTGCCAGGTTTACCCTATTGCTAGCTTCTGCCTGTTGCTGGAGAGTAAGAGAAAACAATATTACTGAGTTATGAACAACGGGAGATGTATTACCAGTGGTGCATGCTAGGGGAGGATAAAAAATTTAGGGTGACCTCCTTAGTTTGCCTTCCTGGCTTTGTCCCTGAAGGAAGTTGTACTGTCTTTTGTCTCCAATGCTTGTTGCCTGTGGTGGGTGTTGCTTAGAGAAGGGCCTGAGAAAACAGAAGTTGGACTGTGTCCTGGGGCCTGAAGGATTTTTATTGTCCTGCTGGATGGTACATCCAGGGCTAAGACAAGGGGTGTCAGGAATGGACTCAGCACTGGTGGTGGGACTCACCTGCCGTGTGGGCTGCAGTACCAGGGCTGACCAGCGGGTGCTCTCAGCAGCCAGCAGCTCACTTCTGCAGTCAGCCAGCACCTGGGGCTAATTACAGCAGGTGTATTTAAGGAATGACCAGGCCTGTGATCTGTGCCTTGGTGTAAATGTTTTCCCATGAGCCCTTGTATCCTGTTCCTGTGTTGCTGTATACTCCATTGCCGACCTCTGCTTGTTACTGATCCTGCTCTTCACCTGTTTTAAACCCCTGGCTTGCCTGACTACTCGTCCGTCTGATCCCTGGTACTGTATTTGCTCGCACCCTGCTGAACCTGGCTTGTGACCTGACCATTCTTAGCTCTCTCCTCTTGTACCTCGCTGCCCGCATAATACCGACCCGGCCTGTCTGACCACGCATACTGTACCCGACCTTCCATCCATCCATCCGGCTCGGATCAGACCAGTGTATCTGTCTGCCTCTTCCAAATTAGATTCCGTTCCTGCACTCCCCTGTCAGTACTCTCTACCACCGCAGGTCGCACTCGGGGGTCGCGACCTGGTTCCAGTCTGCACCAAGTTCATCCCCACCATCAGGGGCCCTGGTGAACAGCAGGCTGGGACTTAGACCCCGCACCCTGAGGGCGTCCATGCGGTGGGCTGCTAGAGACTCTGCCAGGTGGTTTAACAGTACAGTTTAACTTCTGAATGTATTTATTGTATGCTTGGAACTATATTGCTATGTGGTGCGCTGCGTCGCAGTATAGGGTGAGATGTACCCCGATTACCAGTATCATGTTGTTTTTGATGCTTCTGTAATAAAAGTATCTTTTCAATCAAAAAAAAAAAAACAGTACCAAATGGCCTGCCTGACCATTCCACCTCTCCAGCCCTGACTACGCCTGTGTTCTTGAAGCCTGCTACTTCCCTGTCAGTCCACACATTTCTGGTCACACCCGGATCCCTAACAAGGGGGTTGGGGACAATGAGCAGGCATGAGTAAGAGTACTACATACATTATTATGTATGTACATAATACAGACATTATTGTGAGTGAGATTTTAATAAACATGTAAGGCTTTTAAGATATACAGAGAGCACTATGTTCAGTGCTGAATATTTCCTTGTACTGGCTGTTTTGGAATGGGGAAAGAGGTGAGAGTCTTTACTAGAGTCCATGGTGGTGAAGACTACATACACTGGGTTCATGGGGTTTTTTTTTTTCGCAGGTCTGCTTTGGATGAATTCAATATTTGTCACTATAAATACTTCATTATCACAAACACTTTAATTTCAGATGCACTGTTTTCTTAGTTGGAGTTGTGTATAAATATCAGTTGGAATATTTGGTAAAACTGTTTAATACTTGGTACATTGTTTTAGCACATTTATTAATATTTTATAGTGAGCTACAGTTGCTTCTTGAGATCTTAAAGTTTATTAAGACTTTGAGTACTGCAGCTTTATAGTAGTTTAAACAGGGGTGAGCGCGAGATTTATTGATTGTTTTAATTTTTTACAAAAGAGCTTTGCGACCCTAACTGGAAAAACATTTTCTAAAAAGAATACTTGCCCAAATACGATTCATGAAACCGGCCTAAAACCCACCTAACCCAAGTCACATAGTGGTCAATGCATGGAACATGTAGAGTCTTCTGTATCTGTTATCATTACTATGACCCAGGGGCGGACTGACAACTCATGGGGCCCCCGGGCAATAGGGGATCATGGTGCCCCTGTGTCCTTGCCCAAACTCAAAAAAGCCTATGAAAAAGGTACCAGGGGCATCTCATGGTGCCCCCTACTGACCCCGGGCCCTTGGGCAGTGCCCAAGTTTCCAAATGGTCAGTCCTCCCCTGCTATTACCTTCACTGCACGAATTATTACAATTGAAAAGTCCATTGCCTTTCTCTGACAGAGAAACGAAAGAAGTAGTAGCATCATGACTATTAAACACTGCTGAGATTTTATTACTGGTACTTTGATGAAGAAAAGGGAGGTAGGGTTTACACTGGGCATTATTTTTATTATTTCATGCTGAAGCTCATCTCCATTTTTATCAAAGTGTCTTAGGGTGGGTCTTATCCTGGATTAATGACTAGACTAGTCTTACCTTTTTTAATTATTTCTTTATGTAGCAGCATAAGAATGTTTAGAGTCTCTTCTTTAGTTAATGGCATTAGTTTACATTCTACTTGGAATGGATATGCAGATTTCTGCAAAACCTAAAAGACAAAATACAGTATAATGATTATGATGAGAAAGCAAGAGCTGTCGATATTTTATACTAAACACAAATTCAATATATTTTCAGTCTTTAAAATTATATTTTAAATTCATCTTGAGACTTCCTGCAGAGAGACTGAAGAACTCAAACTGATTTTTAAAATTCCTAAGTCATATTTTAACTTATCTCTATTCATACCACTGCTGGGTACTACAGCAAAGCTTTATATTGGATACATATGTCACAAAGTCAGCTATGGATGCAGTGGATTTTTAGATCTTCTCTACCTTCAACTGAAGTACATGCCGTGCTTTCAACACACACGCTAATTAAAATCAGGAGGTAAAAAAAGGATTATTTTCTGAATTTATGGAAGAACCAAAGCAGATGCTACAGTTATGTTCATGCATGCGGTCTTATGTACAGAACCTAAATGTTTTGACAAAGCATGGAGACACTGTGGACCAGGGGTGGACTGACCATTTGGAAACTCAGGCACTGCCCGAGGGCCAGGGGTCAGTAGGGGGCCCATGAGATGCCCCTGGTACCTTTTTCATAGGCTTTTTTGAGTTTGGGCAAGGACACAGGGGCCCCATGATCCCCTATTGCCCGGGGGCCCCATGAGTTGTCAGTCCGCCCCTGGATACACTAATATATTTTTATTAAAATGTAGTTGTAAAACATCTGTATATAATACTGTTATTTCATGACATAAACATATCTACATTACATTTACAGGTTTGGTCACATAGCACTGAGGGATATACATTATTTCACAGACATAATATTATGCTCTACAGACACAACTCCTACAGAATGCTACTTGGCAGGCAGACAGATATAAAAAGCTATTTAAAGTTCAGAAAAATAAACTGTTAATAGTCTGCACAAAGATAAGATAAGCTCTCATAGATACCCAAAGTATTTTAGAAGAAGCACATGAAAAGATTGGAGCTACTAGAAAAGGCATTAAAGTGATATTAAACCTTCGTTTTTTGTTTTTTTTTTATTAAAAATAACAAACATGTCTGTATTTACCTGCCTGTGCAATGCTTTTGCACAAAGCAGCCCCAACCCTTCTCTTCTGGGGTCCCCCCACTGGTGTTCCTGGACCCTCCTTGTTGGTGGATGCCCCCACAGAAAGCCGCTTTCTGCGTCCATTGACACAGAGCACCGCCACCCACATCACAACAAAAAAAACTGCACTTATTATTTTTATCTAAAAGGTGAACTTATTCTTTAAGGCTTTAGGACCACTTTTATGTCAAACCAATCTCAGTGCCACCATTTACTTCCCGCCATAGTGATGCCAGACAGTAAGGTGTGTTGGCATGTGGCTGATGGTTGCCAATTGTTTACAATGCTAGTCAATTTGTACAAGGCAGCAGTTTAAAAAGCCCAGCCCAGATTTATCAGTTGATGCTTTCTACTACCATGTACTACATATACATATACATTATACTTTTTTTTATATAATAAATATATTCCCACAGAATTTCATTCAGACAGTTACGTCTTTGGGGGGGGGGGGGGGTAGCTCTCCACAAAGTGATTGTACAAATAAAAGAAGTTAACTCTGCCCAAGCCTTGCCCCAAAAACATCCAAGAAATCTTACCACATAATGAAATCCCGGCGTGTGAATACTGTTGCTTTTTTAATACAAATGAAAAATACACTGGTCGAAAAAATGAAAGGAACACAGCGCCTACCTATTCATTATTAGTTCACAGATAAGTGTCACTTTCACTTTTTAGAGGCAGCTGTAAAATCGCCTGGAGGAGGGGGGTAAATATTAATTAACCATTTGAATACCGGGCAATTTTACACCTTCCTGCCCAGGCCAGTTTTCAGGTTTCAGCGCTCTCACACTTTGAATGACAATTGCGCGGTCATACAACATTGTACCCAAACTAAAATTTTAGCATTTTCTTCACACAACTAGAGCTTTCTTTTTGGTGGTATTTAATCACTGCCGGGGTTTTTATTTTTTGCTAAATTATCAAAAAAAGACCGAACATTTTGAAAAAAAAACGTTTTTCTTTGTTTCTGTTATAAAAGTTTGCAAATAAATGATTGTTCTTCATAAATTTAGGCCGAGATGTATTCTGCTACATGTCTTTGGTGAAAATAACCCAAATTAGGATGTATTTTTTAGTTTGTAGGAAGGTTATAGAGTTCACAAACTATGGTATAGATCTGAATATTGATCAATCCTGAAGTACTGACAGCCAATCTAATTTCTTGAGGTCCAAGAATGTCAGAACAGTACAGATATCCCCCAAATGTCAGGACAGTACAGATTTCCCCCAAATGTCAGAACAGTACAGATATCCCCCAAATGTCAGGACAGTACAGATATCCCCCAAATGTCAGGACAGTACAGATATCCCCCAAATGACCCCTTTTTGCAGAGTAGACAGTCCGACGTACTTCATGAGAGGCATGGCGAGTTTTTTGAAGTTGTATTTTTTTTGTCATAATTTTTCGAAAAATGAAAAAATGCAAAAAATTATTTTCACTATTTTTTTTTTTACATACTGTCACCAGTGCAGTACAGCGTCATCATATAACTGGCATGGCGGTGATCAGGGACACTGACTGGTGACAGTATGAAAAAACAAAATATATATATATATATATTTTTTTTTAATTATTTTTAATTTTTTATTACATTTTTTTTCTTTTTTTAAGATTTTTTTTCATATTTCACTATGACCAAAGTAGTACAATGTTACCATAGTAACATTGTACTACTTTGGAGAAGTAATCAGTATTTTTTATTTTTTTTTTTTTACACAATTTGCTTATAGCAAAGAATTACTTTGCTATAAGCAAGCATTTACCTGAATGACATCGATTCATTCAGAGTTTTTTTTTTTTGTTCTTAGCTGTGATTTGGCCACAGCTAATCACATGACATGTGCATGTGACCTGCTGTGACCATTCACAGCTAGGCACTAGTATACAATGGATGGCATGAATGAAGCCATCCATTGTATACAACTGTCATGTCACCTGCTGTGATTGGTCACAGCAGGTCACATGGTACCAGCAACGGGGCCGATACTCAGATCTGTCATCGGCCGTGTCCGAGGTACACGGCCGGTGACAGATCGTGCCGCTACGCGGCTCTGCAGGAGAGCAAACTGCACATGTGCAGGAGGATGCCATTTGGCGTCCAACACGGAAATGCAGTAGAGTTTGCCGGCTGCCTTTTGGCTATTGGCCGGGCGTGTACTGGTTAAACACCAATTCATTCTTCATTATATATTTTTTATTTTATATCTAGTATTTGGCGCCACAATAATTTATTATTTTTTTTGAATGTAACCACTTTTTCTGACATTTTGTTTACTTGACAAAGCAGTTTTTTTTGCTAGAAAATAACTTTGAACCCCAAACATTACATATTTTTTTTAAAGCACAGGCCCTAGAGAATAAAACAGTGGGTGCTGAAATGTTTTATGTCACACAGTATTTGCGCAACAATTTTTCATACGCACTTTTTTGGGAAAAATACACTTTTTAGAAATTGAATGCACAAAACACAATATATTGCCCAATTGTTTGATACAATGTAAAAGATGATATTACGCCGAGTAAATGGATACCAAACATGACATGCTTTAAAATTGCACAAGCCCATGCAACAAATTACATAGATTTGTAATATCCATAGGCAATGCTTTAAAAGCCTTTACAGGTCACCACTTTATGTTTACACAGGAGGTCTAGTGCTAGAATTACTGCCCTCGATCTGACATTTGCAGTGATACCTCAACATGCATGTTGCAATCTCTGTTTACATAATGCCATGGGACTGCTGCTTACATTTGCCTTTGCGTGCAAGCACGGCGATGTGGGTGAGGGTGATCTTTTTAATCATTTATTTTGCATTTTTTCATTATTTTTACACTGTACCTTTCATTTTATTTTTCCAGATCACTTTTATTGTTATCACGGACTGAAAATATCCCCTGTGATGGTAATAGGAAGGGACAGGTATTCTTTTCTGAGAAATCTGGGGTCTACTAGACTCTAGATCTCTCCTCTGCCCTTAAAGCATCTGATCACACCAAGATCGGTGTGATCAGATGCTTTCCCAATTTTAAAATGGCGCTGTTTAGATCCGGTGAAATGGAAATTATGTAATTCTCGTAGCTTCCAGTCTCTTAGACCAGGGGTCTCCAAACTTTCTAAACAAAGGGCTGGTTTACTGTCATTCAAACTTTAGGAGGTCAGACTGTAGCCAGTGGGAGAAGAAAATGTCCTGGCATCAGTGGGAGTAAACAATGCCCCATCTTTGGTATTTATGAGGAGTAATAGTTGTGGCAGGCGCAGCACCCTTTGGTGCCTAGTGCGCTGTGGCATCAGAAAAATTATGGAATTGCTGTTTCTTTGTTTGATTAGACTGACTTTACTCTGTAATTCCTCCAATGCCGCTCCATGGATGCAGTAGGTTTAAAGAGCACACCGAATACTTTAGTTAAGTTCTTTAATAACTTCAATCTTCTTCATATAACACTGCTTACAATGGCTTGTTTCTTTCATATTACAGTGGTTTGATTCGTATTACATTGGGTTGATTCAATAGCTTATCTCGATAGGTTCAATAGATTCGATAAATTCGTTCTGTATATTTCGATAGATTGATAAATTCACTTGGATTTATAAATTCGTTATATTCGGTAAGTTCGGTGGAACTACAAGTAAAACACACACAACAGTTTTACACACAGATCTACCTGCACTGTTAAACAATAGAGGAACACACAAGTGCATTTAATACCTATTTGGCCTTCTCTGCTTCCATAAAGCTTTTCTGATTGGAACTGTCTGTTTCCTCTTCTGTCTGGTGAGCATGTGTCTCTAGAAAATCCTAGCAGGGAGTTTTACACAGGCATAGATGTGAAACTGGCTGGGATTGGTTAAGGTTCTGTACAGTATTAGGCTGTCTGTGATTGGCTCATCTTTAACTAACTCTTAAAGGCATATTTTCCTTTTCTGCTTCTGCTAACACAATGAATATATAAATGTCATATAACAATCAAAGACATAAATTACAGCAATGATTTTGCTTTTGGCTTTAACATATGCACATATATACTATACTGAGGTTATTGGCAGGTTTGGTATACACATATATGTGAACCATATTAGCAACCTAGGACTGGTCTTAGCTGGCCAGCTACAATAGTGCCCCATCATTGGTGATAATGGGAGAAATTGTGCCCCATCATTGGTGTCAATGGGAGGAAAAGTGTCCCATCATTGGTATCAATGGGAGAAATAGTGCCCCATCATTGGTATCACTGGGAGAAATAGTGCCCCATCGTTCGTATCAACGGGGGAAATGGTGCTCCATCATTGGTATCAATGGGAGAAGTAGTGCCCCAATGTTAGTGTCAATGGGAGGAATAGTGCCCCATCATTGGCATCAGTGAGGGAAATAGTTCCCCATTGTTAGTAACAATGGAAGAAGTAGTGCTCTATCATTAGTATCAATGGAAGAAATAGTGCCCCATCATTGGTATCAATGGGAGGAAAAGTGCCCCATCAGTATCAATGGGAGAAATAATGCCCCGTCATTAGTATCAATCGGAGAAATAGTGCT